CCCCCCAATCTTTCCTTCAACTTAATTAATTGTCAACACTTTTAACCAATGAGAGATCTGTTTTTACTTGGAATACCAAAGAAAATAAATACGAAGTTACTTTTTTTTTTGTAGTACAAATAATCGGATTTCTGTAATGGATTAGCACACGTTTGTTAAATTTTGTGGGATGTATGTCTTCTTCCAAAGAAGCTGTCAGACCTGTAAATTGAGGTGAACTTCATTTATTTTACAGGAATTTAAATGCAGAAAATGGAGAAAACTATAGTTGCATTAAACACACTTCAGCTATATAGAACAAAAACATAATCTAAGGTGTAGAGCAGTAAAATATAGACATTTTTAATAATATTATATATAACAAATATTATATTTGTGGACATTGTGAGAATTTTTCTCATGAAACAAAATCATAAAACAGAACTGATGATAAATAGGAAATATTAGACCTTAATAATATAGAAAATTAATGCTAATACAACAGTGCAAATCGTCACTTCTTTCCCCAAGAAAAGAAATGAAGCAAACTTTTGTAGTTCCTAGAAACATGAACATATCAACATTTTGAAGTTCAATACATTTGTGATGTTTATTGCTGGAAGTTGGTAATATTTTTAAATACATTTTAGATTTAAGTGAAACACAACAAATCACCAGAAGTTGTAAACACATTTGATATTTTTTTAAAAGATCAATCTAATTTATAATTTCCAATGCATCAGAAAGCAAAAGAACACTAAGCAGCCTTAGGTGTTTTAAGTTTCATTAGATACCCGAGAACTCAGGAAAAATCCAAAAACACTGAAACAGTTTTGATTGTGACTGAGAAATGTATATATTTGGGCGTTATTCCACCTATTCTCATATTGAATGTTCCGACTGAATTCTCATACATGGAGCAATACTACTTATGGCAGAATGGAAGATTGAACAGTGTGTGCGTGCGTGTGTGTGCTACTTTTTGGAAAATGAAGTTGGAAAACTAATCTGAGTGATTGACCTTCATCTTAATCTGGTTTTCATCCAGTTTCCCTGATCCTTTGAGGAAATGCAGGAATGGCCCCTTGTTTTGCTTCTGGACATAAATGTAACTTCTGCATGTTTTCTTGCACTCAGTATGAAATATAGTTATTCAAGTAATTGTTTCCCTTTTCTTACAGCAGTACATTGATTCCTTCATAATGAGCACTATAAGGAATAATAGCCAAAATTTGCTGCTGATTTGTTTCACAAATAGTTTTTACTATACATCTGAGCTAATATTTTCTTATTGAGTTGTGCTAATAATGCGGGTTGATACCTGTATTCTTAATTCAAGTATTTGTATATGGGGTAGAGTTTGAATCCCAGAGCTCAGGAAAGTGTGCACACATTGCATTTCTATCCATAAAATTTCACATATAGTTTTAAACTGTTTTTAAAACATAAATAATTAAGTAAATGAATAAATAAACATCATTTTGTGTTTTCTTTTTCAGCAGCATTTTTGCTGGTGCAGACCACCAGTGCAGTATAAAATTACAATATCTATCTACATTCAAAAATTAGTCTACTTAAAACAAAGTATCTATAACATATCTAGTAGAAGAGTTCTTAAAATTGATGTTGGTTGGATGTAGGATACACATTTATAAGTAATATATTGTATTGACAGCAGATGTACTAATTACATTACTTTAACTTAAAATTCACTTCTTCAGGGAAGTACATGTACTATTTCTTTTTAAATATGAAGAAGAGAACTTTCACTTAATTTCGTCTTTGTCTTGTCTACCTGTGCAGCCGGAATTACTACTATTGTAAGAATTAAAATAGTGTACCCATCTTTGTTTTAGACAATGAATGGAAATTTTAATTGATTTCTAAATACATGTGTACTATTCAGTGTTACAATATTCTCGAAATATTTTAAATTTAGAAAGATTTAAAAAAATGATTAGTCCTTAAAACTGTTAATTTAATGAAATCCTTCTGCACATGCTTAAAACAACATAGCTACTTCATAGGTAAATTTCCACCATTCATCTGTAATTTACGTTTACAATATTACTGAATATTGTTTGTAGTGCTTGGGTATAAAATTACTTTGCATACAACAGGCTATTTGTACCGATATTAATGTTCGATTATCATTGGAATAACTCTCCAAAATTCCGCGAAATTTCAGATAGTACATTTGCGAATAACGAAATGAGATATAAATCTATAAATACCGTATCTCACGAATCTCAATCTCGTAGAGAGATCAATTTTTCTGTAATGGATGTGTCCTATGTTACGTTAAAAGGTCTTGTTGTTCTCGCATTTGTTGAGCATTCGACAGAAAAAATAATTGTTACCATCAACGATGAATTAAAAAAGAAGCAGCAATAACGAAACAGCGCTGGCCGTTGTAATAATCCACCTTTTCTTTCGCGCGTTTTTGAATTTTTATATATTGTAAAATTCGCTGATACAATTAATGCATAACTCGCTCCTCTCTAATTGCTAATAAATTGAAGTTATAACAGTAGTTTTCGCGTGCACATGGCGGTAACTGTGCTTCTCTTTGTTGTATCTGACCCGAATTTCATGAGAACCATCAGTTCTATGGGAACTGTCGCCTGAACATTTCCGTTAATATGTACACAAGAAAACCCTTGTCGTTCACTTTCGTCTATGCGTTAAACGCGCACAATAGCGCTCGTATTATGTACTTTTTGGTCATGAGTCTTTTCTTGAAAAGGAAGAACTTAATAAGGTACCGCTTCCCACGGGAGACGGAAATAAACCTTGTGTGTTTTTGTTCTTTCGTCTGATTATAATAATAGCAATGCCAAGCGCGCAGTCAGATTTATTGATCGGTGAGGAGGCGTAGTGGGGATAGTAAACCGCTTATGCGCCTCGCTTGTGCATTGAAGTGGACTCAAGTGTGACATGCAGAGACGGTGTGAACGTAGTCGAAACGCAATAAACGGGGGCGGATCCAAAAAGTATTTCAGGGGATAACCAATTTCCCAATTTCCGTTGGATAAATAATTCATATTTCCATATTTATATTTGAAATGACTATTCCACTCGTTAAATTAACAGCAATGGCGTCGAACCAGACAACAATCAAAGAGGTTATGTTATATTACATACACGGTTTATAGCACATCAACATAGCGATTGATGCTTAACGCCTCCTAAAATAGAGGAGTCGCAGCATTTTATAGGATACCGCCCCCCCCCCCCAAAAAAAACACTTCTTACCATCCCTCCCTGTCAGCCAATCAAAAGGTGCAATTCATCAATCGTAGGATGTGCTGTCATGTGCACTTATATAATTAATATTTGGCTCATTTTGAAACTCTTTGGCAGTAATTCCAGTCGTGAAATAGTCTTATTAAATACTAACCTTGAAAATTTCAAGATTATTTTCCTCGGCGCTATGCGACTCGGGAATTTATCGGAATTTTTAAATGTATTCGTAATATTACCTAGTATGACTTTACCACTTACCGTAAGCCTATAAATGATCCCACATAAAATAAATTGAATTTATTGTCAATAAACCATAACCTTGTCATTAATCGTAAGTGGATCAAACATATCTACCTTGC